CTTCTTGAGAGCTCTTTGTTTTCTTTGGATGTTTTCTTATTAATTAGCTTTCTGTTTTTGTCAGATAAGTTCATTATTTTTCTGAACTCTGATTTTGTTAAATACATATATTTTTTCCCACTTATTTTATTGGTGCATTGTAGTTGTACACAGTGGTGAGATTTGTTGTTACATATTTGGGCATGCACATGATAGAGCAATATAATTTGGCAACACGACTCCTCAGCACTCCCCCCTCCCTCCCCACCTCCCACCCCAGGAACCCTTTCCTCTATTGATCTTCCTTTGATTTTTAGTACATCTACCCCAACTCTGTTTTCCTTTTTCCTCTCTAGCTTTCATATTTGAGAGAAAACATATCTTCTGAGTTGAATTATTTTGCTTAACATGATGGTCTCTAGTTCCATCCATTTTCTTGCAAATGCTGTAATTTCATTCTCATTTATGGCTGAATAAAATTCCATTGTGTATATGTACCACACTTTCTTTATCCATTCGTCCATTGATGGACACCTAGGCTGGTTCCATAGTTTGGCTATTGTGAATTGTTCTGCTATAAACATGGGTATGTATCACTGTTGTTTGATTACTTTGATTTTTAGGACAAATACCTTGGAGTGGTATAGCTGCATCATATGGTGGTTCCATGTCTAGACTTTTGAGGAATTTCCATACTGATTTCTGTAGTGATTGCAGTAAGTTACTTCCACCAACAATGTCAAAATGTTCCTTTTTTCCAAATCCTTTCCACCATTTATTAATTGTGTTCTTGATTACTGCCATTCAGACTGATGTGAGATGAAATCTCAGTAGAGTTTTGATTTGCATTTCCCTAATTGCTAATATTGTGAACATTTTTTCATGTGTTTGTTGGCCATTTGTATTTCTTCTTTTGGTAAAAGGCATTAGATGCATTTTTTTGGGGGGGTGAACTGAATAAATTTCCTATGCTAAAAAAAATCACTCCACCCAACCCCGATATCATTTTCAAATTCAAAGGGGAAACTGATCTTTATAACAGAGATCTATTGATCTATTGATTAACAGAGTAGTCACACCCAGCATCACCCCTGGCTGACCCACAACACCTGCACCATCTGCTGTGCTGTGAACGTGAAGTACATAGTCTCACCTGCCAGGTGTCCTGCAGTTTCTTTAATAACTTGTTCTTTCAGGAATATTTATTTGAGCACATGCTGGCTGGACATTGGCCCAGCTGACCGTGGGTTTTATGGTTGAGGGTGAGCTCTGTGTCAGCACCCTACAGTAGAGGTAACAGCTGACTGCATGAATGTGAACATAGACTGCCAATCTCAGGCTTCAGAGCAGCCTCCACTGTGGCTTGACGGTGGCCTGTCCTTTGCAGAACTCATGTGATTCTGAGTTCAGAATCTGATTGTCATTGTGGTGGTGTGAGAGTGGGGCCTGCAAGGGGCTATTAGATTGCTAAGAAGGACAAATGCCTTTCTCTCACAGTGAGCTCTCATTCCCGTGGCACTGGATTAACCACCTCTAGGGCAGGGTTATAAAAGGGAGCTACTTCCACCCCATTTTTTTCCTTTCTGCATGTGCCTGCTTTCCTGTCTCTTCCTGCCATGAGTTGAAGCAGCCAGAGGTCCCAGCTGACTTCATGCTGTTGGACTTCCCAGCCTTTAAAACTTTGAGCCCAAATAAGTCTCCATCCTTTATAAAATACCAAGTCTCCACTATTCTGTTATAGTGACAAGAAATGGACTAAGAAAGTATCTTAAAAGAGTCTGAATTTTGCTTGATACTTGAAGATCTAGCAGGAGCTAAGTAGGCAGAGAGACAGTGAAGGCACTCTGGGAAGAGGGACGGCCTGGAAGACAGTGGGATCCAAGAGCATGTGGCCATTCGGGGGTCCTCCTCGGGGTAGGATGCGGAGCTTTTGGTAGAACCTGGGGTCTCAGGTGGGTGAAGACCAGAGCCAGGCAAGTGAAGGAGGCAGGAGCAGTCCTGCACCGGGCCTTCCACTCCCCAAACTTCTGTTCACACAGCTCAGTGCAGAGTGGTTTGTGTTTTGCAGAGCCTACGACTCAGATAGCAGTGTAGACGTTGTTAGAGAAAGACACAGGATATGGGACCGAGTTTACACCCTCAGAGCCAGGTGCAGTCCACAACTCAGATCCGGGGCTCAACTCTGAGACTGGAGGCAAAGACTGACAAACCAAGTCAGTGAAACACTCCAGAGCTGTCAAGCACCATTCTTCAAGTTGTTGGTAGGACAGTTTTATTGCAACTTGCCTTTTTAAAAAAACAGCCTATGTTTTGAGACCTATCCATGCTAATACATGCAAATCCATTTCATTCTCTGCTGTGATTCATCTTATCCCATTTTTTTTTTTCTGGAAAGTACTTTTAAAAATTTTAATTTGTTATATATATAAATACCTTTTTTCTATTTATTCATTTGTATGTGGTGCTGAGGATTGAACCCAGGGCCTCACATGTGCTAGGCAAGCACTCTACCACTGAGCTATAGCCCCCCGCCGTTTTCTTTTAATATCTTTTGTTTTCCTCTGACAATTTTTTATGGGATACCCTGTGATATTTCTGTTTTTTAAGTTGTAAATGGACACAATATATCTTTATTTACTTTTATGTGGTGCTGAGGATTGAACCCAGGGCCTCACACATGCGAGGCAAGTGCTCTACCACTGAGCCCCAGCCCCAGCCCCTGTGATATTTCAGTACATGTATACATTGTGTAAGGTTTAAATAAGGCTAAACATATGTGTCATTTCTTTATGGTGAGAACCTTCAAACTCCCTTCTTGGGGCTTTTTGAAATGTGCAGTGTGTTATCACTGTCTACAGCCAGCCTCCTGTGAGCAGCACCCCAGGACTTCCTGCTCCTGTCTGACTGTAACTAAGTTCCCATTGGTCAACCTCTGACCGTCCCTCCTCACTCCTCCTTTTCCCAGCATCTGGAAACCATTGTTCTACTCTCAATTTCTATGAGACCTACTTTAAAAAATTTCTCCTGCGTAAGATCACGAGGCATTGTCTTTCGGTGCCTGGCTTATTTCAGTTAACATGATGGCCTCTGCTTCCTGGTTCCATGTTATTGCAGTGATCTCAGTCTTTGCTCCCATCCTGATTTGTACTTGGAGTCGTGGTATTTCATGGGATTCTCTTCACAGGGAAGAAAGGGGTGGCCAAAGGTAAAACCCAGCCTAGAGGGACCTCAGAGGCTGTCTAGTCCAGATTCTTCTTTCCTCAGAGGAGGATCATGAAGCACAGGGGCGGAGGTGACTTGTCTGTAGATGTCCCTCTGATCACAGCGCAGCCTGTGCTGAACTTGCTGCTGTTAGCGTGGCTCAGGGTTACAGGTGTTCACTTGGGAAGGTACTTCAGGTACCCTTGGAAAGGCGGACACTTGATTTATGGAGATGCTATGGCTTGTCCCAGTGTCATATTGTCATAAACCACACTGTAGAGAAGAATCAGTGAGGGTAAATCATCTTGCTAGGTCACATTGGAGGAACTCCTGACAATTATGCAGAAACACATATCTAGAAAATGATACAAAGTGTTGTAAGCAGCATTATTGCTTTTAGGAAAATCTCCTTGCCTCCAGCAGGCTGCCCCAGGTCAAGTACCAGGCAAGGATTCCCAGGAAGCTTTGTAAGCTAGTGTTTGCTCCATAAAGTCTACCTCCATTCTTTAAAACCGTCTGTTCACAGCTGATCAAATGAACACCCTTCTTGATATGCTATTTCAGGAAGAGCCTTGGTTGCATAAGCAGGGTTTTGAGTTATGCCCTGGCAAACAGGAAAACAGATTCCTATTAAAGCTATGCAAATAACTGTACTGCCACAAAAAGTAAAATGTATTCCAATTCGACAAGTAGAGTCAATAAAAAATTTTGAATTCCATAGGGTTTGGCAGGGAGAATAAGATGTCATAAGTTTCATTTTGATTTACATATTCAGAAAATTGAGCATTAAAATAACACCAGCAATATTCCAAACAAAAACTCCTCTCACTTGTCATCGCTTCATTTAGTCCTGAGTGACTGATTCTTATTCCCCAGGGTCTTGGGGTAGTGGTCTCAGGGGCCCATCTGCTCTTAGTGTGCTGGGCTTGTCAGGCTTCCTCTGGTGTGGTCCCCACGTTCTTTATGTGATGCCCTCACAAACCTGTATCCAAGTACCTGCCACCTGGTCCTTTCCTGCGGGGCTCTGAGCTGTTGTTCTTCCTGGGAGAGAAAACATTCACACCTGTAGCCGATCACAGAAAACTTCCAGGGAAGTATCAAAGTAAAACAAGCTAAGGAAAAACATCTTAGATGATAAAAGACTTAAAATGGGTGTGGTTTATTTATTACTGATGATTTTTTATTTTTAAATTTTTATTTATTTATTTATTTATGTTGGAAAAAAGAAATTATATTTAGAAGTAGACAGCTGGATTTTGTTTAGATGATCCCAATTTTGTTGGCGACGTCCAATGCATCATAATCAGGAGCCAGTCGAACATATGCCTTTTTCTCTCCATTAGGCCTGGTCAAGGTGTTAACCTTGGCCACATCAATGTCATAGAGCTTCTTTCTTTCTTTCTTTCTTTCTTTCTTTCTTTCTTTCTTTCTTTCTTTCTTTCTTTCTTTCTTTCTTTCTTTCTTTCTTATTAGTTGTTCATTACAAAGCTCTTGACATATCATATTTCATACATTTGATTCAAGCGGATTATAAACTCCCATTTTTACCCCGTATACAGATTGCAGAATCACATCGGTTACACTTCCACTTTTTTACATAATGCCATACTAGTGTATGTTGTATTCTGCTGCCCCTCCTATCCTCTACTATCCCCCCTCCCCTCTCCTCCCATCCCCTCCCATCTTCTCTACCTGATCTACAGTAATTCATTTCTCTCTCTTGTTTTTTTCCCTTTCCCCTCACATCCTCTTATATATAATTTTGTATAGCAATGAGGCTCTCCTTCCATTTCCATGCAATTTCCCTTCTCTCTCCCTTTGTCATAGAGCTTCTTTATAGCATGTTTGATCTGGTGTTTGTTTGCCTTGACATCCACAATAAACACAAGTGTGTTGTTGTCTTCAGTCTTCTTCATGGCTGACTTGGTGGTCAGAGGGAATTTGATGATGGCATAGTGGTCAAGCTTGTTTCTCCTGGGGGCGCTCTTCCGAGGATATTTGGGCTGCCTCCGGAGCCGCAATGTCTTGGGTCGCCGGAAGGCAAGTGACGTGCGGATCTTCTTTTTATGACTGTGGACACCCGTCAACACTGCTTTCTTGGCTTTCAAAGGTTTTGCTTTGGCTTCAGCTTTAGGAGGGGCAGGAGCTTCCTTCTTAGCTTTCGGCGCCATCTTGGTGAAAGGGCTGTTACTGATGATTTTTAAAAGGAAAAGACTTTAGAGTTAGAAAAGAATAATGCTCTAGATGAGAAAATTTGGTTGTCTCTGTGGCATGTAAAGCAAAACAACGATGTCAATCCAAGGAAGTTTTAGAAAAATGGGTTATGAACCTAATCATTGAGCCTATTTTCAAAGAACACACAAACCCTGTATCTAGTTTCTTAAGAATGAATGAACTCAAAGGAAATATCAAATTACTCAGAGACATAATGTGTCACAAAGATACCAAGCATTTGGAAGGAACAGGTCATAATGAGATGCAGTGTGGCTGGAGCAGGCTCTGAATGTCTGTGTATTAAAAAATAAAAGCAGGTAATGGGCTCCCCAAATGAAAAGCACCGTCCTGAGATATGCTAGATTCAAATTAAAGAAAAAGACCTGTGACCTGGTTAACATTTAAAACGAGTAACTATGACTGATAATTGTACCATGGGTGTCTGATATTAGGAGAGCGGTGCTGGGAGGGGTGTCTTCCTGTGTTATTTTACCGGGGGAACATTGTCAAGATGGCAGTGGAAAGCATCCAGGTCTGTGTGTAATTAGATTCCCCTCACTGGCAGAGATAAGCAGTCATCACAATGTTGAAGCATGGCATTCACAGGATGCTGGTGGGGTGACGGCTCAGTCTCAGCATTTTTATGTTCCAGCAAGTGCTGTCCCCATGGAGCCACCTCACGAAGTCCTAATAATGTTCCCAACAGCTGAACCATTATCACTCACAAGAGCTTTCAAATCCCTCTCTGAGGTCACATCTCCATCTGATGAGAAAGACACAGTGATGTTTTGAGGCAATGTGATTTATGGCCCAAAGTGATTTGTGATTAAAAGTTTCAATACTAGTTTATGATATGATTATTGATCTCCTGTCGAAAGCAGTTTTGACAAATGGCAAAATATCTAAATAAGTACAGTGATTCCCAGGCACCTAAAGGAAGCCATGCTAACCAGAGCATTCAGATGTCTTGGACTGACAGTGCAAATGGCAGAAGCAGGAGACAACGTTGAACGCTGGGTGAGACCCATCAGAGAGATGGATTTGCAGCACAAAAATGTGTTCTGGAATTTGTTCATTTGAACCATAGTAGATGAGCAATAGATCACAGATGCCCGTAAGGCCCATGTTATGGCCCAAGAAGAACTGAAGGAGAAGTACATCCAACTTGACATAAAGCAAGGAGAGATGAATCATGGTGAAAGGCCAGAGTCTGCAAGTCAGGTGCAGGACCTGCTGTGTGACTAGTAGGAGTTCCAGAAGAACAAGAGGCTTCAACTGCTCAACTCAACTGAGATGAGTCCTTCTTGACACTGGCAAAGGCAGAGTGGTGCTGAGGGTTTGGTAGGTCCTCAGGAGGTGCGTCCCAGCTGCAGGAGGGGCCTGGGCACTGATCCGGAGCAGCCTGGAAGTGGAACCCTCTCGATTCCCCCTCCATCCTGCCGTTGGTCCCAGCAGTGGTCAACAGAGGTGCCTGTTGCTGGGCAGAGCAGCCCTTGGGAGCTGACCTCGCTCATGAGGAGCAGGGAGGAGGGTAGATCCTGGCAGCTAGCCTCCACCTGGCTGCACCCTAGAAGCACCGGGCAGCTGTTAGAACTAGGGAATGCCACATCCAAGGTCAATTAGGAGAAAACCTCCCATAGGGAGCTCCCAAGTGAATTTAGTACTTTGCCGATGTCAAGACTACTTCTATAAATGAAAAGACATAATAGAAAAATACAGAATTTTGGAAGGGGATCTGTGAGATCTGTGAGATACTCACACTGAGGATGTCGTTTTTTGGACTGCAGAAAAGCAGAAACGAAAGGGGATGTAGGTGCCCTGGAGAGTTCATCTCAACTGGGGTGGGCAGGGGAAGCCTCTCGGTGGGGACATATTTGATTGGGATGCAGGGTTAGTTTAATGATGACCATTTTGAACAGGAGGTGAACACTGGGATAGAAAAGCCTTCCAGAACATTTATGTTCACGAGGCTGGGGCAGAGCTGGGAAAACACTTACGCAAGTAGAAATGAGGAAAGGGAACACTAAGGGAAGATGGCCGGGCTGCCGTGGATCACCGCAGTAGAGGAATTGGGCCAACTCTGTCAGTTGTTCTAATACATCTGAAAAGGCTAAAATTTCCTAGGCAGGGAAGGACAGTTTGGAGTTTTTACACTGTTGTTCTACAATTGACGAGAGGGTGTTAAGATCACTGACTCTGATTGTGCATTTTCTGTTTCTCCCTTTAATCCTGTCAATTTATACTTCATGTATTTTAAAGCCCTGTTGTTCGGAATATTAATATTTATGGTTTTTATGGCTTCCTGATGGACTGGCTCTTTTATGTTTGGTGTATGCCTCTTTTCTCTGTAGTATTGTCTCTATCTGGATTGTGCATTAGTAAAGCTATTCCAGATTTCTTAGGTTTACTTCCTGCATGGCATATTTCTTCCATCTCTCTCTATATTTTTTAAATTTCTTTTTTAGTTGTAGATAAACACACATTTTTATTTTATTTATTTATTTTTATGTGGTGCTGAGGATCAAACCCAGAGCCTCACACATGCCAGGCAAGCGCTCTGCCACTGAGCAGCCCCACCATCTGTATACTTTTGACCTACCTGTGTCTTTGTTTTCATAGCATGTCTTCTGGAGACAACAGAGGTTAGGTTTTGTGCACTTTCATTCATTTTGACAATTGGCATATTTGGTTCTTGAGCACTTAAATAATCATTGACATAGTTGTGTTTGATTGTTTATTTATTTATTTTTTGCAGTGCTGGGACTAAACCCATGGGTGCTCTACCACTGAGCTACATCCCATCTGTTTTATTTTGAGAAAGGGTCTTGCAAAGTTGCTGAGGCTGGCCTTGAACTTGCTATCCTCCTGCTTCAGCCTCCTGAGTCACTGGGATGATAGGCTTGCACCACCACACCTGATGTTGTGACTGTGTTTAGATTTGCCACTTAATTTTAGTTTCCTGTTTGTGCCTTGTTATATTCCTCCATTTTACTTTTTTTGTGTCATTTCTTTTGGGTTATTTGGCTATATTTCAGAGTTCCCTTTTAATTTGTGCATTGTCTTTCTAACTATACAGCTTGACACACTTGTGGTGGTTCTTCTGGTGTTATAACGTAAATTCATCCTGTCTCACAGCCTAGTTAGGTTAATATTATGACACTTCAGGTAGCAGGAAGAAGCACCGCCACCGAGATGCCCACTTACTGCTCCCCATCTTACTGTGTGGCCCATTGACGCCTCCCTTCCCCTCTGTTAAATGGTATTGTGTTTTTGCATCAAGCAGTTCTGTGTATTTTAAAGGAAGCAGGAGGAAAGAGAAGCGTTTCTATTTCCCAGGTGCTTTTCATTTCTGATGCTGAGACAGGGGAGTTTCCTTTCATCCTGATGGTGTCCTTGAGCCCCGTGGCCCTGCTTGTGGAGCAGGCTCGTGGCTTTCTTTACCTGGATTGTCTTGGTTTTGCTCTCATTCTTGAGGGGCTTTTTCACAGGACACAGAATTCTTAGTCTACAGTTACTTATTTTCCTGACAGCACCTTACAAATGTTTTTTCCCTTCTGCCTTCCTGTCTGCATAGTTTCTGGTGAGCCTGGATGACTGGAAGTCCTGTTCCCTGGCCGTCGTTTGTGGTTTTCTCTTGCTGCTCTCAAGACTTTCCATTTATCCTGCATTTGCAGCCATGTGGTTATGCTATTCTAAACCTGGTTTCTTTGTACTTATTTCTTTTTCGTGTGTGTGTGTGTGTGTGTGTGTGTGTGTGTTTAGTTGTAGGTGGACACAACTTTATTTTATTTTTATGGGGTACTGAGGATTGAACCCAGTGCCCCACGCATGCCAAGCAAGCCCTCTATCACGAGCCTCAGCCCCAGCCCCAGCCCTGTATTTATTCTTATTGATTCTGTGAATGTAGATCTTTCACCAAATTTAGGAAATTTTCATCTAAAAATACTGTTATTCGTGCATTATAGTTCCCCATAACAGTGGGGCTCATTTTGACACAGCCACACAGGCACAGTTTACTCCAGCTCAGTCCCCAGGGCCTTCTCTTTGCCTTCCCTCTTCCCTCCCACTGATTCCCTTCCTCGACTCTCCTGCTGTTCCTTTTGTTTATTTGTTTATTTAAATTGGTGCCTTATGGATATACACACAGGTGGAATTCACTGTGGCGTATTCATAAATGCTTGCAGCATGATTTTATCAATTTCATTCTGCAGTTCCTCCCTTTCCCTGAACACAGGTTTCTTAGGAGGGTGGGAATGGCAGGTATGTATATGGCTTGTTGTTCTATGAGCTCCAAATGTGTTTGTAATAAAAATAACTTGATATTTCAAAAGGCTGGGAACCACTTCATAATTCAGCATCAAGGAGGAGGTGTAGACCCTAACTTGCGATATGACATTTTCTGCCTTTATTTTCTTGTCTGTGAAGCAGGTGTGGCCTACGTCCTCCGGACATAGTGTCGTCGCTGTGAATAAAATGAAGGATGCAGATAAATATAACTTAAAGAGTTAAAAGACATTGAAATGAAAGTTACAGTCTTCAAGAAAATTCTGAAATGTTCTCAATTTATATGATGCAGGTGGCAAAATCACCGGAGGAAGCGTCTTCCCTTCCCAATGGTGATGTAGTGGGAGAGGCAGAGAGCACAGCAGAGGTAAGGCCTTGGGCTGTTATATGGAACCATCTTCTCCCATGCCAGTGTCCTCAGAATGGCTGCTTGGTCTTAATGTTTCTCTGTGTCTGTCTACCTGTCTATCATCTATCCACCCATCATATATGTACATCCATCCATCCATCCATCATATCAATCTATCCATCATCCACCCATCTATTTATCCATCCATCCATCATATATATCATCCACCTGTCCATCCATCCATCCATCCATCCATCCATCCATCCATCCATCCATCCATCCATCCATCCATTTTCCATCTTGTCCACCTGTCCACCTGTTTATATCAATCCACCTGTACACCTGTTATCTTCATGATCCTTAAACCAGTGAATTGAACTCCTCCCTCAGGCAGCTTATTACTGTAACGTCCATCAGTCTATTGACTTTTGCCCACAGACCCAGCCAGCAGTGTTGGTGTTTGGTGAGGCCATGCTTTCGCAGCGAAGTGAGCTCCTGACTAGGAGGACTCTGCTTCATTTCTGTATTGTGATTTAAATAAGAAAACCGCATTGGGGGTGGCCTGGATTTTCCTCAGGTGCTCACCTAAGATCAGTGATACGCTGGGCCTCTCTTATGACCAGGGGACAGAGAAGGCTGAAGAAAGCGGAGAAAGCGAGGCACAAGGAGAGGGCGCTGAAGGTGCGGGCGAGCTCCCCGAGTCCCCGGAGAAGGTGAGGACTTGCCTCTTTGTGGGTCTGTCTTTGGATTCAGTGCTGTCCTTTTCTTACTGGGCTCTGCCTGGAGCAGGAATTGTGCTGCACTCTGGGAACACAGTGGCTAGTGCAGAGCTGAGCATGGAGCTGGGAGGAAGTAGGCCATTTTCATTCCAGTGCTGGCCACTGGGGACCAGGTGCGGAGTGGCTGAGGAGGACCCTGCAGCAGGCCTGGAGGTGGCCAGCCGGTCAAGGCTTTGATCCTGTGTTGGGTTGTGAGGGTGGGTTGGGTCCTGTCTTGGTCAAATGAACATCCTTAGCTCCTGCTCCTACTATATATCTCCTCAAGAGCCAAGGTGGGGTGCATTTGTGGGGTACTTAGAGGAACTTGAGAATAAAAGGGGGCCTTGGGAGAAAGCTGAAACTCAATTCAGTCCAATCAAGGGAATAGAAGGTCCCAGCAAATCCAAGGCACAGGTTTCCTTGTCAGAGCTAACGGGATGGGGAGTGGGGGTGGGGGCTTAGAGCAGATAATGGGGGACCACATAGGACACTTATTTGAGGAGTTCAGGACATGTGACTTGGGTGGCCATGGCTGCAGATGGAGCCCAGTGGAGCTGGGGCAGGGTGCGGGCCTCGGGGTGAGCTTCCCTCTAGAATTTCAGGGGGGCATCATGAGAACTTTCTAAAATGTGGGGAATGTAGTAACTTGTCCACATTTGGGTTTGGCATTTATCAAGGTGAAATTATTTTATTGTAAGGTAACATTATTTGGAGGTTCATTCTTTGCCACCCCCAGAGGTCCTACCTGAACACCCTGGTGGGCTCCCCGGCCTGAGGCTGGGCCAGGCCGAGAGCGGCTGCCTCCTCAGGCCTGCTCCCTCCTCCCCACCTCTTCCTGACACTCACCACCACTGACACCTGGCCTCCGTCTGGCTACCCGCCACCAGCAGCCTGGTCGCTGGCCAGGTTCCCAGCAAAAATAGCTGCTACAGGAGGAAGGTCCTGAGACATCCCTCTCCCGAGGCTCCCCGGGGGCCTTCTCAGAACAACGAGGTGCTGTTTCTGTGGTGTGCTTCCCGCATTAACGGCTCGCAGAGACTCCAGCTCTTCCGAGGTTGGCTTAAGTGACCTGGTGATTACAGTTCTCTTTTAAAACATGCTGTTGTCAGTATAGTTATTTGCCAACCATAAAGGTCAGTTCATGCCTTGACCACAGAGAACCATCCGCTGAATTCTGATATTTTCTAATTTTGTGAGCTGAGGCTAGTCGTTGGTTATTTTTATGTTTTAAATGAATATATCCCACCTCATCCTAGGGGGTCAGAGGTAGGAATGGCAACGCATACATGCATTCATTCAACACATTTTTTGTGTGGGGGGACTGGAGACTGGACCCAGGCTCTCCAGGAGCCCACCGCCAGCCCCCACCCCACGTTCTGTGAGTGACCAGATGGAGTGGTGCAGTTCCAGGCTAAGCAGAACTCTGGGGGCCAGAGGGGCTGTGAGACAGCAGAGCCCTGCCCCCACCAGCGTCTGCTCTGGCAGAGCCTGAGATGAGAACATCCAAAGCCCTTTACAGCTCACTTGACCTTTTGAAGCTATTTCTATCAGTTCTGTGATCAGTTCCTTTCTCATTTTCAAGAAATAAAGCTGAATTTAGATATTGGTAAAGAGTGCCAGGTCCCTATCATTGCTGCTAGTTTACCTTAACAGCCGAGACTAGTAGTTATTCCTATAGGATCCTGACTGCCCCCCAGCCAGTTCTAAGGGTACCCCTACTTTTAATAATAGATTGTTTCAGCTGGATGCAGTTAATAAAAATAACTGGATTTAGGAAATTGTAAAGCTCTACAATAATCAATAGTTCTGTGCTGCTGGTGAGGCTGGGCCTGATTGAATTTTTGGTGACCCTGTCCTCTCTTCCCTTAAAAGTTTCTTTAACCAGGTCAGATTAAATCAGAACTTTGGTCCTCTATAGACAAGAAGAAAATGACTGTGCTTTGAGAGCCAAGAGTTAATGGCCGAGGAACCGGGCCACTTTACTCACACTGAGGGGGCTTTCTCTTGGTGCCAGACAGTGGCAGGCACTGGAGGTCCCAAAATGAACAGACACAGGTCATGACCCAGGGGCTTGCAGACCACCAGGAGACAGATGAGTAAATGGTGTTTGTGGGAGCTGGTAAGAGGGACCTTAACTCAGTCTCGGGCTGGAAAGTCTGCCTTACAAGGGTCATTTTGAGCAGTGTCCTGTCCTGTTGGGGGGCATGTGAGAAAGTATGGCTGAAAGGGAGAGCAGGGAGTGGTGAGGTGGAGGGCCGAGGTGGAGGGGGAGACTGGAGGGGGAGGCTGGAGGGGGAGCCAGCAGCAGAGGACTTCTTCTAAGCTATCTGGATCCTCTTGTGATGCACATTGCCAAACATGAGGCCCCACAGGAGGTTTGTTGTCTGGACCAACTCTGTGGCCACAGTGTGGAGAACAGATGGATAAGAGGATGACCGGCCGAGGGTTGAGGGTCACACAGGGGCTCCTGTCAGCAGCCAGGTGAGCAAAGCTGGCAGGCTTGGCAGAAGGGACGAGACACCAGCAGGAGTAGGCGGCATCAAGGGCTGCAACCCACAAAGGCCCTGACGGCAGCGCCTGGGTGTCTCAACAGACGCTCGACTCTATTCCTGGCCGTGACTTTTGCACAGACACTTGACATGTCACCACGGTGCTTAACATAGAGGCTGGTGTGGAGATCCCCGGTGCTGAGCCATCCTCTTGTCTGACTCAGCTTTGGCCGCTGTGTCAGGCGCTAGTGTTCTCTGCCTCTCCCTGAGATCTGGAGGTCTGTTCTGGAACTGGCCCCAAACGTGAGGCTGGCCCAGCCAATGTGGCAGTGTCCTGGATACTCTATAAGTTGCCCTCTGTGATTTTGCTCTTTCTGTTACTGGCCCCGAGAGGCTGCCTGGTAGAAGAGGAGGACACTACATTAGTAATCAGGAGACCTGGAGTGGCTCCCGATCATGCCACTTACTTGTCCTGTGACTTCAACCGGAAATCAGTGTTTAAATACTAAATGGTTCAGAAATGCTATCATTTTGTTCTTATAAAGAAAAAGTTTTTGGTCTGCTTTTATTCATCAGTTCAAACTGAAACAAAAGCATACTTGTAAGGGCAGAAGGCAGAAGAGACATATTTTTGTTAAAATTTTTAGGTCACTTGCATATATGATTTGAATTTACCAACTAGCTCTGCAGTCGCTGCTGTGCTTCTGTAGGAGTTCTGCAGACAGAACTGCACGTTTTAGTAAGCAGCACCACTACTCCGTTGTGTTTTGTCAAGGAGTTTGATTAATGGAAAAATATCTTTAAGCTCAGAATGTTTCAATAATTTGAAATATGACCTGAAATCAGTAGAGATCTCCCAGTGTACATGCCTTTACTGCTTACATATTTCATGAATTAATGAATATGTTGCTCATTTTGATGGGCTTCTATTTTAATACAATTTGCCCAATTTTGAGATTCAACTTAAAACTTACTTGAATTTATATTTTTTCCTTCACTTTGATTCACGGACCTAAGGAAGAAGAGGGAGAGACCGCAGCAGAAGAGGTATGTCCATCACCTTCAACAGTTGTGTGTCATCAGCTTGATACAAACATTTTTAGGTGACAGAGTCGAAGCTCTAGCCACTGTCCCTCTGTTCTTCATAAATAAGGGAGACGGTGTAACCCACACAGTCAGAAAAGCCGCAGGTGACCTGCTGAGAAGGGAAGTAGGTTGGAGGTGAATTCACATGAGGGAGGTGGACTGAGAAACAGGACCTGCCCGAGGAACCTCTCTAGCCTCCACGAGAGGTCCAGAGGTCAGGCTGGGCAGGGCCAGGGCGCTGGGCGGAGAGTCGTTCTCATCTTGCCCTTTCCCACCCTGTTGGACAGCGTGGTGCATGCAGCTTGCCCAGTGCTGGTGGTGGTGTGCATGGCCTCCTGTTCATCCTGTTGAGGAGGGAGGGCTTCCTGCCCTGTGCTATGGGGATGGACGTGTAACAGCAGGCACTGGACCCTGCAGTGGGCGTCTGTTAGCCAGGTGCCCATACATACTGGAGGAGAGGACACAGGCAGGGCAGGGCCAGGCTTGGGAGTAGGGCAGATGAGCAGGCCCTGGGAGTTAGCTTTCCAGTGTCTAAGGTGTGGGTGCCACAGGAGGTTGGAGTTGGTGTGCTGACTAATGCCAGAGGGTAGGCAGGCACTGCACCTGGCCCTTGTGTGCGGGGCTGTTAATCCAGGCTGTGAATTCATGGACCTAAGGAAGAAGAGGGAGAGACTGCAGCAGAAGAGTACGTCCCCTGATTTATGAAGTCTGCAGGAGCAGAGTGAGTGTGTGGCGGGGACGAATGCTGACGTCCTTTGAGCTGTCTTGCCTTCACCCGATGTCAAGGGGCACATAATGTTGAGTCTTGATTTTAGTACTCATACTGCAGGTCTCCGTCTGAGCTACCTTGACCTGCAGTTTTAAACAGCTGTTTATCATCAAGTGTCTGGACATTGTGTCACTTGGAAACCCTAATGTCATGCTTTAGGACACCGCCTAAAGAACAACTAAAATAGAAGAGAATAAAGTTTCACAAAGAGAGAAGATTAAGAATTGTATAAAATAAGGAGAAAGTATGAAAAATCAGGAGTACTGAGGACAGAGCTGTCAAGTGCAAGGGAAACATTGAAAGAAAAATGATAAGGCAATATTTGAAAGCCATTAAGGGCAAACTGTATAAGGACGTCTGTCTTCTGTGACATGTGATTGCACATTCTTGTTTGTAGAGGGGAGCCACAACCACATCCCAGGCACAGGGGAGAACTTCCCGGTCCATGTCTGGGGTTGGAGGTTGTCCAATTGAGGAATTAGAGTAGAAATGTCAAAAACATGGAGGCCATAAACACTGACTTTAATTAGAGATATACATTTGTATATCTCTAATTAATTAATTAATTAATTAATTAAGGCACAATTCACCAATTGTTTACCGATTAGAACAAGGACTTTTTTCTTTAAATAAGAATGCAGAGGGCTGGGGATGTGGCTCAAGCGGTATCGCGCTTGCCTGGCATGTGTGCGGCCTGGGTTCGATCCTCAGCACCACATACAAACAAAGATGTTGTGTCCACTGATAACTAAAAAATAAATATTAAAAAATTCTCCGTCTCTCTCTCTCTTAAAAAAAAAAGAATGCAGAGATTAGCAGGTCCTATTGTATTTCTAACATAATCATATTTATTGGTCTCTCAGGGAATTCTAGTTTTAGTTTCTATAAAATACAGCAGAAACTTAAAGCTGTGTGCAAAGCCATTTATGTTCACAAAGATTTTATGATTACTTCCTGCCACTCCAGGCTTTATTAGTGCCTAAAATGACAGATTTTTAAAGGTGATTTACATGTATTGAGTCTTTCCAAAGTATTCCATTCAATCCACATAATAAAAAAGTTCTTTCCCTGTTCCTATTTAATTAATTTCCATATTATTGCTGAAGTTATTGAATTATGATAAGGTTATAAATTGTACACACAAATGTGGGAACAAATGACCAATTCAGGTAAATGCAGGTTTGGTTGATGTTGGTGCTAACTCTACTAGAATGAATGTTATTGTTCTCTGCTCACATGTTATTTTAGAGAATACAAACCACAGCAGAGGTTCTCAAAATGGGGACCCCAGACCAGCAACAGCACCTTTAGAAATGCAATGGTTGACTTTGTCCAGAGTTTCAATCTCTTTAGTTTCAGTTATCCATTGTCATTGCAGTCCAAAAAATACTACATGGAAAATTCCAGAAACAAACAATTCACAAGTTTTAAATTGTGTACTATTTTGAGTGACTTGATAAAATCTTGTGCTATCTTTCTTATGAATCTTATGATTGTCTGGTGTATCCACAATGTATATCTTACCTCCCTGACAGTCACTTAGTAGTCATCTTGGTTACATCAACTGTTAAGGTACTGCGGTGCTTGTGTTCAAGAGACCCTTATTTTATTTTATAATGTCTCCAAAGCTTAAGAATAACGAGGTTAGCAATTTGTTTATGCCAAAGAGCAATCATAAAGTGCTTAAGTGAAAATGTGAAAGTTCTTGACTTAATAAGGAAAGAAAAAAAATCATATGCCTAGGTTACTAAGCTCTGCTGGAGGAACAAAACTTTCTATCTGTGAATTGTGAACAAGGAAAGAAAAATTAATCTAGCTTTGTGGCCACACATCAAGCTGCAAAAGTTACAGCCACAGAAAATGATGAGCTAAGACAGAAAGGCACTGAACAGTGAATACAGGACTGGCTGCTACCTGAGGTTGCACACACCCACCAGGGTCTGGGAGCACTGCCTGCAGATCAGAGGGGACCACTGTGTACACTTTCAGACCCTACCCCAGATCTACTGGGTCAGGCACTGAGGTGGAGCAGTGTTCTAGCAAGCCCTGGAGGTGATCTTAATGCCCAAGCAAGTTGGAGAGCCACTGGGTTGAGATCATTTGTCCTCTATAACTTGATGTGTGGTCAAGATGAAGTTAATTACTAGAGTTCCTGCTGTTAAAAGTTCATTTAGTTTCACAGACTATAACATTTATTTTATATTAGGAGCTTATGGTTGGTAAACAAACAAAACAAAACAAAATAAAACAAAACAAAAACCAAACCCAACCCAACTCTTCATTAGCTCTAAATTCAGTTTTAAGTTTTCCCATGGGAATCCTCTCTTCCCATCTGTTCCTGCTTTGTTGAAACCTCCCAAGACATCTTTTTCCTCATTGACAGATTTTTGTTGCACATCCTCCTAGGCCCTGGGGCGGGGGGGGGGCGGGGGGGAGCATTGTGGTGATGCTGTTTTATGTCACTGATGAATGTGGAGGGGATGCACCTGATTAGAGGAGGAGGCACCACAATTCTTCCTCAGCGCCTGCTTGCTGAAGCTGCAATTTGTGACCTGGAATCTGGAATGTGGAAGTTTAAACACTAATGTCACCGGCATATAACAGTTGACGTCTGGACGAATCAGTTTGGAGAACTGCCTTGTTAGGTCCGAAGTGACATGCTCAGATTCTCCCTTCTCCTACCCCATTCCCCGTTATTTCCCAAGTCTCAGCTACTTAGGTTTTAATCAAGAGTTTTAAGGACATTATTCTTGGACACTTAAGGATTAATCATTTTAAAGTGCTAATCAGAGAACTACATTAAAATTGCAAACTCAAGGGTAGAGAGAATGATTCACAAAAGGCACGTGTGTTGTCTAGGTGTTTCAGTGCAGGTCACCAACATTAAAGACAGTCCCAAATGGCAGAAGAAATCCCCCCCCCCAAAAAAAAACAAACTTTTGTTGGTTTTTGAGACTACAAAATAATTTACAATCTTTATAGAAAATTTAGGAAATACAGATAAAGGGAGGCAATAAAAAAAGCTTATAGTTCCATTACTTAGAAATAACCACTAGCCACACACACACAAACACATGCACACGCACATACGTAACTATCAAATATTGGTTGTTTGTAATCTACTTTTTCAATATTTGTATTTTGCAGAGGCAATAAATATAAAGATGATTCATTATTATTTTTAATATATCAAAGATAACCCTATTTTTGGACCTAAAGATTATTTCTAGCTTATTTTACACCATGATTTTTCATTGTTTATATCTTTCCAATAATTATTCTTTTGTATCTCTCTTGCTAGGCAAGCTTGTTTTTGAAAATCCTATTTTTGATATCTAATAACAAGACAAAAACCATCCCATTAACTTAGAAGTAATTCTAGGTCTTATGTATGTGTAGGCTGTTGGTAGCTTTGGGTTGAAGAAATTAGCATGTTATAACAAAATGTAACCAGTCCTTTCTGACAAAGTTCTATTTTCTGAAATTCTTGTATTTTGTTCTTCCAACTGTAGCCTTTCTGAATTTTTAAAGCAATTTGATGAGACAGATGTCTACATGGGCTTGAGAGAAATCACAACCCATTAGAGCAATGTACTTTTCTGCAAATTAAGGAGTCTGTGTGTACAAGAACGATATTTCAGTGTGTTTTCGCAGGCACTGTGTGTGGTTTGTGTGTGTGTTGTGTGTGTGTGTGTGTGTGTATGTGATGGGTGCGAGTGTCTGTGGCATTGGGAGGCCACAACGCCAGTTTAAGATTTTGCCTTACCTTCTTCATTGTTGTCTTGGTCCCTAATGCTTCTCAGTAATAACATGATTTTTGTTGAAATAAGGCCGCAGACGTAACGAAGGAGGGAGCAGAAGGGGAAGCAGAGGAAGAGGAGGCTGAGGCTGGAGAAGAGGAAGACTCTTAGGCCTTTTCCTGCCTAGTTCTTCGACTCTCCCAGGTAGCTCCGGAGTCCTGGCCTGTCAGAGGCATCCGCACACCTCAGGGGTGACAGGAGGGGCGTGGGTCCCAGCCCAAAGCCATCCTCTGCAAGGCCCTTCTGCAGCTGTGGGGCTGGCGCTCTGCCCGTCTGCCTCTGGGCATGCAGCTGGGATTGGTAGGAGGACGTGGGGCAGAACGGTGTGCACACACCTCTCTGCCTCCAGGGGGCCTCTCTGCCTCCACCGGGCCTCTCTGCCTCCAGGGGGCCTCTCTGCCTCCACCGGGCCTCTCTGCCTCCACGGGGGTCTCTCTGCCTCCACCGGGCCCTCTCTGCCTCCACGGGGGTCTCTCTGCCTCCACCGGGCCTCTCTGCCTCCACGGGGGCCTCTCTGCCTCCACCGGGCCTCTCTGCCTCCACGGGGGCCTCTCTGCCTCCAGGGGGCCTCTCTGCCTCCACACGCGCCAGGCGGCCCAGGGCCAGTGCTGCCTGGGTTCTGGCGCCCACGCCCCTGCGGGTCAGCACTCTGTGTCTCCGGGAGGTTGATGCACAACGGTGGCAGTAATTATGACCTTAGAAAGTGGACGCTGGCTGTTGATTCACGAACAGTGCACGCGGCTGCTGCACCCGCGGTCTTGGGTGCTCGACGCGCTGTTGCCCCTTGTTAGCCCTCAGCACCCACGGGAAGCTGGAGGGGGAGGGTGGCGCGCCACTAGGTGCCGGGGACAAGCTTGCGCTGCCTGCCAGCTCCAGACCTCCCGTGAGCACAGAGAAGTGGCCGTGCCCATCTCACCTCCCGGGTGGGTGGATGTGGTGCAGACGTTGTAAGGTGACGGAGGCGTCTAGTGGCCAGGGCCTGGAGGACTGGGGCTGGGGCCGGCTGAGACGGGACAGTGGCACAGGAATCCTGGGAAGGCATCTGGGAGCGCGCACACCTGGCAGGCCCCTACCTAACGTTGGGTTGTTAACGATGTCATTGATTTTAGGGCAGAATTCGAGGCAGCGGTTTATCTAGGGCAGTTTCATTCTGGTGCTGTCCGGGTTTTTAAAAAATTAAAATAACAAAATTTTTAAAAATTTTCTTCCTGTCCTTATTATACCTGTATTGAAAAATCTGAGACAGGTGTTTGAACAGAGCAGCTGAGGAAGGACATGACAGCAAGCACACAGTAGGTCTTCAGCAAGGGCTGTGGTAAAACTTGGCACTCCTGGGGCAGGTGCATGGGGGCTTCCTGTGGAATGAAGTGGGATTCTGCGCTCTGTAAATATTGAGGACACACAGCAGTGCTCTGTGTGACCACTGTGCACAAGATGGGCCTGCAAGTGAGAAGTTAATTTAAAAAACATATTTTTTAGGGCATCTTGGAGCTGGTGAGCATAGCTGTCACAGTCTCTTATTGGACCATTAAAATTTTATAACCCACTTAAACTACACACCGAATCTAGTCTGGGGTTGAAGTTTCCCCTAGCTGATTTCTTTCATATTGGGGACATACAGGTCTCTTCTTTAAGGACAACCAATTGGCTTTTCTATCGGTAGTGATTCAATTCCTAAGGAATGAAATGGGATCCAGTTTTGAAAAAAAAAAAAATAAAGTAGTAAATTTATGAAATTCTTCTACCTTCAGAGTGGTAGGAAATGAAAGTGTGCTGGGGTCTTCTACCAGAAGCAAAATCCACGGCAGGGGGTTCACAAGTGCTGTGAGAATCCACTGCATCCCCTCTGCTTGTAAAGGTCTTTAAAAATTATGCAATTTTACTGTGATTGTTGTAAAAGATACTGAATGTGAAGTGGCGCAGCTGAGAGAATCCTTAGTGCAGACAGATGGTTTTATAGGCCAATTCAAAAAAAAAAAAGTAACTGCAGCTGTGTCTAGCACAGTTTGCCTGTTCCTCTGATGGGTGCTAGTTTGGAATCTGGCCCACAGCAGTCTTTTGTGAGATGGAACTACCTGGTAGGGAAGACGTGAACCTGGCAGCACCCTAAACTTCACCCTGGAATCCAGGCAGATTCCATCACGTTTCTTAAAAAGTGACATGGCGATGCTATCAGGCATTCTGCAAACCATTTGGCTTTAGGAAAAACATGTTTCATAACTCACAGATATCCAGGCATAATATATATATACATACATATATATATGTATACACTTAATTTCTTTTTTCTGGTACTGGAGATTAATTTCAGGGGCTCTCATGGAAGTACATCCCCAGTCCTTTTTTATTTTTTTGATTTCATCCTAATTTTCTTGCAAGTAAGAAGTTAATTTTTTAAAAAACATATTTTTAGAGCATCTTAGAGCTGATGAGAGTAGCTTGTCAAGTTGTGAAGGCTGGCCTTGAGCATGTGGTCCTCCTGCCTCGGCCTCCTGAGTAGCTGGGATTATAGAGGCATGACGCTGTGCCCAGCCAGGTAGTTTATATTTTATTTGAAGAGTTGAATTTTGGATAAGCATAGCAATGAGTAAATTACAGGATCAGGCTCTAAATTCAACCTCTCTGTTTTCCCTGAACACTTGGGGAAACTAACTGGAGACCTTGTCTTGCATACGGTGTGATATAGGGGGTTCCTCAGAGAGAGGATAGAAGCCTGGGCTTGATTTTCCATGAGCAAAACTTATTTTCCTCTTCTTGTGCTGGGGAACAAATGCCAAGTGTTGGTTTATAGAATGAAGGCAATACTTTTTTTTTTTTTTTTTACTGTGTTTTGTATAATGAAGGTGGTGGTAAACACTCTCTGTCTCTTTAACAGTCTTCTCCCTGATATTTCTCTTTTCTTTTAGAAAACCCACACCGAGAAGCAACATTTCAAATGTCTCCCCATAAACCCCATGAAGTGTTTTGGCCCAAAGCTAGCATACCTGTCCCAGGATGCCTGGGGTTCGTGGAGGACTTCTACTTCTGACATGGTTGATGTACATGAGTATCTACTTAATCATATCAATATGGAATTAAATGTGAAGATGATGTATGCATACTTTCATGTGCTTTGCCTGATGTTCTTGGCCTTGGCTTAACTTTTTCTGCTTGCATGAATAGACCTTCTTATTAATCCTCTGAAAAAAAATGATTTTAGGGACTAGAACTAACTTCTCTTTGTGTTCCAGCAGAAGATTTTGTTGTACGTGGCCTACGCTACTATCTGAGATTAGCTTTGAAAATGCAAGGCTTCCCAGAGAACTGTCATAAATAAAGATTGATAGCCAACATCTCAGCCTGTTGTTCCTTTATTCACAGTCCTCCTGTGGGTGCTTGAATTCAGTGTGTCTGTTACTGAGCCTAAATCCTGTCTGCACTGGGATGAAGGTTTTTTTGTTGCATTGATATTTGGTCCATGTTTTCAAACTGCACTGATTATTTTGTTACATCATATCTTGGGTTGTACAAACTGCTGGGTGCATTGTCTTTGAAGCTTGTCTGACTGTCTCATTGATATGTGTGGGGATGATTGTAGGGACCAAGTCGTGCACGTTTCTGAGCTGCAGGGAACAGCTGCTTCTGTTTCTCCTGCTGTCCGCTGATTTGCAGCCAGGGCTGCCTCCAAGGGAGCCTGTCCTGTAGTTTAGCCTCCCACCGCCAGATGTGTGTGTTCCAACGGCTGGTCTGGCCCCTGTGACTGTGCAGCAGGTAGGTTGGATGGCATTTCTCTGTTCACCTGCCCACCTTAGGTCACTGTGGACACTTTTCTTTCTTCTAGGATTGTGATGAGCCCCTCCTCTTTGCATATGCCCTGTGCCCTGAATTTTTCTTTCAGCACACGTTGCTATTGTAAGTCAGCAGAGCAGGGTCTCCTGGCTGAGCGTTTCCCTATCTCGTGATCGCGGTGGCAGTTTCTCTTGAGTGGCCAGAAACGTTTCCCTTTCGAACCTGCCTGTGGATCTTGCCGCTGGATCTTAGGTGTCATTTGGGAATGTACTGCATGGTTACAGGAGTCATGTGGATCTCAGGGACTCAGGAAAACAGCTCTTTGCTTGTTACCCTAGTAACGAGACGTTTGGAAGAGAATTAAGGTTATTTTGTTCAAATTGTTGAAATTGACTGCTTTAAAAACATTTCTTCTTTTGCTAAAAATAAGGTGAAAGACTACAGTGATATGGAAAGTAATAGAATTAAAATTATATTCTATTTTATTTTATCGCACTAAAGTATGTCCTGTTTAAAAAGCCTGCATATATATATATATATTTTAAATTTAAGGTCATGAGAAAACTTGCATGTATTTTTAAATAACAACTCCACAACAAAAGGTTCTTGAGCTTCTTGTTACATGGATTGACTTTTAGCTCTGTCATGGTGAAGTAGGATGGGCTAGATTTGGCTTGGTGCCAATTTCCCCTCTTAGTTCTTATATTTTTAAGTGAAAATAAGTATTTATGCCAATAGTAAGTAAAGATGAAAAACCATGCCACTTATTTAAACTGAATTTTTTTCTTACATTGTTGCCTATAAGTCAGAAAATTAACTTTCTAGGAGAGTTTTTTTTTTTTAAATTTATTCACACTTCATTTTTTCCTTAAAGTGTTATTGAAAGGCAGAATCATTTAGGTCATTAATAAACCAAGAAGAGCCTCAAGTCTTTTCTCATGTTGGTCTTGCCCACCATGCTAACCTGCAGTGGTCAGTGGATCCAGGGGTACAGTGAGGAGCACTGCAAATATGACTTGTTTGATTTCAAAATATTGTTCAGAATCTGCCTGCTTTCTCTAGATAGGAAGTTTCTAGAACCTGAGCAGCATGGTGGATATGCAGAAGAAATTCAAAGCCTCAGTGAGCAAGTATATCACTTTGAAAAAAAAAAGGAGAAAAGAATGAAATACAGAGAAATGGGATAATTTTATTATAATTGAAACCTCCCAGAGGAAGTTTGGCATTTGATTTGTTAGTCTAAAGGACGCCTGAGCATTCAAAGTAATTTTTTTTTTTAAATTAGAAAAGCAACACCACAAAATCTCCAGTGC